TTGAAAACATTTTTCCTTTGAGGTGTCTGCTAATGAAGGCCTAGGAGAAAGCCTTTGCTGCATGAGGCTCAGTGGAGGACGAGCCGTGGCAGCTGCCAGTATATAGCCAGCTGATAATATTGCATGCATGCACGCACTGCATTTCCTTATGCTAACCCCCTGCCGTGTTGTCTATAGCTCATCTTGCCGTCTCTTTGCACTTGCGCCCTAGTTCTGCAGCGTGCAATCACTCCTGCTTGCAGGCCTTAGCACAACCCTGCCAGAGCCTACGGCAAGGCCCAGGATGCAGCAGAGTTTCCACCAGGGGATCTCCACTCTCTGGAGCACCAGCTGCTCGCACTATTGCCCCACTGCAGCGTACCGCGGTCCTGCTGATGTCCCGGTCTCTGGCTTTCAGTTGACCACTGCTGCTGTGACCCATATGCCTTGCGAACAGGGCAATGGGATGCTAAGAGACAGCCAAGGATAAGCAGAGGCCCAATCTGACATAAGACTGATGGTCTGAAACTCTGTGCCTATTGATCCCCCATAGTACCCTGCGCTGAATGGGCAGCTGCACCAGTATCAGCAGGTTGAAAGCTGTTGGGGGCTGGCAGTCTGTGATCAGTAGGAACTTGTTTAGCTAATAGAGAGATACCTGCAGAGTCTGACTGAGCTCCTTGGAGAACTCTCTGCAAGAGGAGGAAGGAGTGACTATAAAGCAATTTTCATCTGTAATAATGAAACAGCTACACCTAGTGGCACCATTGCCAAGTGGTCACCACAGTTCCTGCCATGCCTGCTCTTTACCCTGCCATGTTCCTGCGGAGGGGAAGAATCTTTCCTGCTAGCTCTGCACAAAGGGATGACCCCACTCCCTAAACTGGTTTCGAGGAAGTAGTTAAATTTTCCTTTTGATTCAGCAATAGCTCAAACTCCTCCCCTGCCAACATGCCAACAAGAGCTCAGACACCAATCCTCAGGCCCCAGAGGCTGCTGGGTAAGTGACTGTCCATCAGTGATAATACAACATGGTAGAGTAGAGGGAAGAATTGTAGGAACAGAGGCCCAGATCCTCCAAAATATTTGGGCTCCTAGTTTCCACTGGGAGTTAGGTGCATAACTACCTTTGAGGATCTGGGCCCATGAGGCTAAGATCTATGCGTCTGTCAAGGCCAGCTCTAGGTTTTTTGCCGCCCCAACCCTGGGCTCTCCTCTCCCACCCCACCCCACCCCACCCCACCCACACTCCCTGCTGCCCCAGCGCTGGGCTTCCCCCCACCAGCGCTGACTCCGCTCGCTCCCCCCTTGCCTCCAGCCGGTCCAGCGCTGGCAGGGTCAGGGTAAGCAGCAGGGCTCCCGGGCCGCGCCTCAGCCCAGGGTCCCTCCAGCCGGGGCTCCCGACGCCGGGACCGGGGAGGACAGAGCCGGAGGACCACCCTGGCAGGGGACTGAAGAGCAGGGGCAGGGCAGCCCCAGAGGGAGCGGAGCCCTGGAGAGCGGGACTCAGGCCCCACACGGCAGCACCCCACCCTCTATGGCCCCGCTGCTGCTGCTGCTCCTGGCCACCCTGCTGCAGCCCATGGGCGGCTCTAGCTGCTTCGCCCAGCCCCGGCTGCAGCGCTGGGGGGGCGGCCGCCCTGCGGCACCTGCAGGCAGCTCCGTGTGCCCCGAGGGGCGGCCCCCAGCCCAAGTGTCCCATGCTCGGAGCCCGCCCGGCCATAAGGTGTGGGCGCTGCTCCCCGACGCGAACCGCAGCGGCCCCAGGGCACCCCTGATGCAGGACGCGCTGCTGCTGCCAGGGCCGGCTCTAGGCTTTTGCCGCCCAAGCTCCAAAAAAAAAAAGAGGCTGGCTGGAATGCTGCCCCTGAAAATATGCCGCCCCAAGCACCTGCTTGGTTTGCTGGTGCCAGGAGCTGGCCCAAAGCTACGGTGATAATAGTTACTTCTAATTAAAGATCAAGTTGGTATCCTTGCCTTAAATTGGGAAGGGAGGAAAGATGGGGCCACTTCTAGCAGCAGTCAGGGGATGGTGGGCACCTCGCAGGGGTCTGAATACAGTACAAGATCCCCAGCACACGTCAGTTCTTCTTCTTCCAGCCAGTCACTCTCTGGTAAAATAAGGGAAGTGATAGTGAGGTGAGGAAAACTGTAAGGGCTGAGAGTTATGGTGGTCTAATTCCACTGACTTCAGTAGATTTACCTGAGGGAGAAACTTGGCCCATCCCATTGGTTTACTTAGTGTCACTTTACACATACGTTTAAAAAGTGCCAATCCCAAGACTAATGTATGTGACAGATTTGCAAAATATGTTCCATGCAAATACCAGAGAGCAAGGAACAGAATGCTGGAGAAGCCTGCTTGCTTTTCTTGATCAACATCAGTGGAAGGAAAAACTGAAATCAATAAGTTCGTGCACCTGGCCTTTCGTGAAGTGTGCAGCACACTTCCTTATGAAACTTAGTGGGAAGACATATTGAAAACAGCTTAGATATGATCATTGTCAGATGAAGTGAAAGCAAGCTGAAGAATGGTGAGCACAGGGTATCAATAAACAGAGCAAGGATCCAAAAGGTTACCACAAAGAACAGTGGTAACTTGGGTTAATATATATGTAATGATCTTCCATTAGGAGCCAAGCTGTCCTGAGTTAAATTTGTGGGGAATACTGTAAACTAGGAGAAGCCACAGAAAGAAAATAAAGGGGCCTAGAGAATTATAAATAAGCACAGGAAATAAATGAAAAGGATATTTGACTGGGAAAAATGCAGATCGCTAGATTGTGGGGGTGGGGGGGGGGGCAGTGGGAAATAATTCCACACCTGCTATTCAATAGGAGGAAGATATTTAGCAAGGAGAAATGCTGAGGAGACCTCACTGTGGTAGTGGATTAATTTCAAATTAATATGAACATACAATGTGCTCTGGTGGATAAAAAGTCCAGGCAAGTTTGGGCTGCAGACACAAAGATGCTATGTCATGGAGTGGGAGGTTGGCCTTCTGAGACCGAGCCTGGAGTCTGGGACTGCAGCAGCTGGTTGGTGAGGAAAAATTAATGTAATTAAATAAAAGAGCCCATCTAAATGATGGCTTAGAGGGAGCTCTGATTACTGCCTCCAAGTATGTGATGTGTGGAAGAACTAAAGTGCTGGGGAATTCAGAGGCTTCCAGCAGACATAATTAATAATGATCTGAAGCTGAGCAAAGGAAAGTATAGTCTGAATATCACAAAAACCATTCCTACCAGAGAGGTCTATTAAACATAGGTGTGATAGCTTCCCACAGGGGATGGGGTGGAAGCCTCATTGCCAGAAGCATTTGAAATTACACTGCACAAAGCCCTTGACAATGCACTTGTGGGGAGAACCTTACAGTGGCGGAGAAGGAGAGGGAGTAGATACGATGACCTATTAGATTATTTCCCCTCTTTTCTATCATTGGCTGGTTTTAGTTAAGGAGTGAGTTGCCTCCCAGAATGCCCTAGAAGTGAGGGTGTTAAAAAAATACCATTGTTGATTGTACTCCTCCCTATGGTCCTATGATCTCACAAGTTAAGCAGGTTTGGGCCTGGTAACTGGGTACATGGGAGACCCAAAGACTAGTAGTGCTAGTTAACTTTATACTGGCATTTTTTCCTTCTGAGACAGTCTTGATCAGTGGTTCTCAAACTTTTGTACTGGTGACTCCTTTCACATAGCAGGTCTCCAAGTGCGACCCCCTTATAAATTAAAAACACTTTTGAATATATTTAACACCATTATAAATGCTGGAGGCAAAGCGGGGTTTGGGGTGGAGGCTGACAACTCGTGACCCCCCCTGTAATAATCTTGCGACCCCCTGAGGGGTCCCGACCCTCAGTTTGAGAACCCCTGGTCTTGATCCTCTGTCACTTTTTCAATACCACCAGTGTTACCTGGCCACATTCCAGCTGGCTTATTCCATTCCATCCCACCGAGCCAGATTCCCTTATGTTCGTTTTTTAAAATGTGCCTCTCCAGAGCTCACGATGCAAATTCACCCTGAAATTTCAATCACATATGGCACATACCCCATGACCCAAGGGGTGGTGTTCCCATGTGCGGTTAAATAACTAATGCATTCCACCCCAGAGGTACCAGATTGGTCTCGAATGGGCTGCAGGAGCTCTTCCAGGGACTTGCTATGTGATCTTGGACAGTCACTTATTCTCTGACCTGTGGCTCCCCGTCCGTAAAATGAGAATACTTCCTTTCTCCGTTTAGCCCATGATACTGCATGGCCACCCCAGAGCCTTAATGTGTAAACTGGGCAGAGCTCAGCTGTTATGGGTGTATCCAGCACCTAGCACCAGGGGGCCTCTGGGCCCTACTATAATGCTAACGATACCAACAGGTTGCACTTCAGCAGTGCAGGATGCGATTCCTTTGTACTGTTTGTTATTTCTGTTAAACAGTGCAGCATTGGTCACCTTCGGGCAGCAAGGAGATGCTTGTGCCTAGCCTTTATTGTCCCTGGGCAGGAGGAGGGGAAGGAAGGAGGCTGGCTCTGGTCTTGGTATGCAGGGTGAGCTGGTGTGGAGCAGGGGGTGTTGGACTGGGGGCTTTGGGGGGAGGTATTTCGTCCCCTTCTTCCCCCCCCCCCGACGATCTGCTGCTGCTGCACAGCCCCGAGGACAGTTTGTTCCCTCCCAGCCTCTCTCAGGTGAGGCAGCATTTTGAAAGCTAGCCCCCCTGCAGCCGGAGCCGGAGCCGGCACTAGCAGGGCAGGTAAGGGTCGCTGGGACTCGGGGGAGGCTGCCCAAGGAGCCCTGCCCTGCCCAGATGCAGCTGGCGAAGCTCCCTGCAGCACTGCATTGGCTTGCTGCTCCAGCATGACATCAGGAGCGGGGAGCCAGGGCGCAGGCGCCGGCGGCGGGGCGGGGGAGAGAAGATACAGGAGGCAGAGCGCGGCGCTCGCCAGCATCCCCATCGCTTCGGAGCGACTCCGGCGTGTCCCGGCCCCGCCTGGCCGCCCTCTCCGCCGGCCAGCGAGCCCAGGGAAGGCAAAGAGCCTCCTCCCGCCCAGGGACCCCCTCCTACCCCACGTCCGGCACCATGTCTGCGGGAGGAGACTTCGGGAACCCCCTGAGGAAATTCAAGCTGGTTTTTCTGGGGGAGCAGAGCGGTGAGTCCTGCGCTCGATCCCGGGGGGGGGTCCCCTTGGAGCCGGGGGTCGTGGTTCTGCACCACCACCACCACCCAAGGCCCATGTCTGTGCTGTAGCCTGCGCCTCTCGTGTCCTTTGCGGCTGCGGAGGGCGGCCCCGATCCTGCCGCCGGGCCCAGGGAGCCAGGTGCGGGAGGGGGGCAGCTGTGCCGAGGGGCGGGGTTGAAAGTGACCCGGGCTCAGTGCCGGGCACGTTGCGGCGTAGACCCGTGGGGGTGGGGGGCTGGAGATAGCAATGTAATTACATACAGCGCCGTGCGAGTGAGGGGTGGTTGTGAGCACCGAGGTGCTGGGGACATAGGCGGCTTCTGGCCGCTGTCATTAACACTGATCCGGAGCCGAGAACAGGAAAGCAGCGTCTGAACGCCCCGGGGAGACCGGCACCCGATAGCGCATGGTGCTGGTGGGCTGGCTCCTGGGGAGGGCGGCTCGGGCTGCGGGACTGTGCTGCATAGGCAGGCGTCTGGGGATGGAGCTGCAATCCCTGCTCCAAGGGGAGGGTTCAGGCCAAACTGAAACCGCAGGATAAATGACCCAGTGCTAATAAACCCCCGGGTCCTGCCCAAGGGACCCGCTCAAGAACTTTGTTGTTATTTTGCATTCCCTTTCATAGCTGAACTCCTATCTGGTGGAGCAGGGACAGGCATCTGTCAGCAGCCCTGGGAGTGCAGAGAATTCCAGGGCTGCCCCTTTCCTGGGGTGGGTGGGTTGGTTTGGGGGGCGTGCTGTTGGCTATTGGATTGTCTCTCAAGCAGCTGGCATGTCTTAGCACATACAGGGTGGTGGGGGTTGTACTGGACAGTCCCGTGTAAAGCAGCCCTGCTGAGCTTTGTAGAAGCTGTATGTGAAAATAAAGACGAGAGGAGGAGACACACCCTGATCCTTGCCAAGCTGCAGCCTCCCTTCCCCTACCCACCTATATTGATATTAAAAACCCTTCCAGGTGGGTGGATGTGTTGGGGGGGTGGGTGGGAGGGATGTAACAAGTCAGCAAGACCTGGCCATAAAATTATCTGTTAATATCCGCCCAGCTCACAGCCTCCTGCTAGGGATTCTACCATCTACCATCTGTAACCAAACCTTGTCTGGCTCCCTGCTTCTGACATGCCACCTGGCTGGTTGAACGAAAGGCATTTGTTGCACAATATAAGGAGAGCTCACATGGAAACCTAGGGGGTTCTGGGGCAGAGTGATTATCCTATAACTTCCTTAATGGTTTTGGTTTACAGCACTGGGGAAGAGGGAGCTGGTGCTATATGAGACCCAAATCACATGGCTCATGGTTTAATTATGCTGTGCAGAGGGTGCCTCTTCCTCAGGCTTTCTGAAGGGGAGGAGGTGGGGTGAGGATAAAGGTAAACGTCTGGCATTGATGACAGAGTGGATTAGATGGAGTTCCCAGCAGGAGTCTGCTTCGAGATGCTCTGTAGTCCAGATCTCTTGGCAACTGAGCGTGCTGCTTGCTGCCCTCTCTTTAGGGCTGAACTTGACTTTCCCAAGCCTGGGTGATGGAACAAAAGGTTGCAGGATGCTACACGCTGCCCATCCTGCAGTGCCCTCTTTATTCACTGCTTTGCAGTTTCCTGTCATTTCTTTCTCATTGATGGACAGCCTCCCAGAGCAGCTCCCCTTCCCCGATTTGCCCCCTCCTTTAATGGATGCATGCGTGCAGGGCTCCCAGGTGTGCAGGAGTTTCTGATTCTGACACAGAAGATGCTGCAATGTCTAGAGAACAATATTTGCCATATGTGCAGTAAGGGGGAGGGGAATAGAACAATGTAGCAATGTGGGTTTGGGAAAGGAGACTGGACTGCCCCAGGAGCTCAGGAATGGTGTGAGGATCATCCAGAGCTATGCAATTTTAATGATATTTTTGACTGTCTTGGGTGAATGTGTCACATGGAGGAAAGACCAAATGACCTGGGCTGCATACGCACATGCAGAACCAAAACAAGAACACCTGGCTGATGATCAATTTTCTCATCCTTTTTCCTCCCTGCCCTGAGCTTCTCCGTACTTGGCCTGCCCTGCTGGGGCCAGATAAGCAAGAACAAAAGACGCTTTCTCACCTTTGCCACTTTATTAACACCCTTTGCAGGGCTGTTAGCAGCTATTGTTCATAGGCCTGTACCAACTTACTTGCCTTCCTCTGGGGTGTGTGGATAGCCATGGGGGCAGTGAAGGGGTCCCTCTAAAGGGCAGACTTGTTCGGCTATCTAGCTCTGAAAACCTATAGGGTGGGATTTTCAGCACTGGCCTAAGCTCCCATTGAAACCAATTGGAGTTTCCCCAGAGACTTGAGCGGGAGCAGAGTCCACAGTGAGCACTTCTGAAAAACCCACTGGGGTCTCTGAAGTTATGGATTCTCCACTAGGGTGACCAGATGTCCTGGTTTTATAGGTACAGTCCTGATTTTTGGGTCTTTTTCTTATATAGGATCCTATTACCCCCCACCCCCATCCTGATTTTTCCACACTTGCTGTCTGGTCACCCTATTCTCCACTAATCAATCAGCGAAGCTGCAAATGCAGCCACTCTTTCCAAATTAGCAGCTATGCTCCCAGTGCCTGAGACCTTTGCCAGTGAATAGGGAAAGGAGCCAGCTGTATACTCTTCCTTTATGTACAGAAACCATGAACTTTACTCAGACCTTTCCGTTTGAGAATGCCTTACATTCCATTTGCAGCCTCCATTATTCTTCCTCTAATGACAGACCCCACATTCTGAATCTGTCATTTACTTGCTTGCTAGCAAACCACAGCCTGATAAGACAGGCATCCTTGTGGCACCTTAGAGACTAACACATTTATTTGGGCATAAGCTTTCATGGGCTAGAACCCACTTCATCAGATGCATGAAGTGAAAAATACAGGAGCAGGTATAAATACATGAAAGGATGGGGGTTGCTTTATCGAGTGTGAGGTCAGTCTAATGAGATAAATTCATTAACAGCAGGATACCAAGGGAGGGGAAAAAAACTTTTGAAGTGGTAAGAGAGTGGCCCATTACAGACAGTTTACAAGAAGGTGTGAGTAACAGTAGGGAGAAATTAGTATTGGGGAAATTAAGTTTAGGTTTTGTAATGACCCAACCACTCCCAGTCTTTATTCAGGCCTAATTTGATGGTATCCAGTTTGCAAATTAATTCCAGTTCTGCAGTTTCATGTTGGAGTCTGTTTTTGAAGTTTTTTGTTGTTGAAGAATTGCCACTTTTAGGTCTGTTATTGAGTGACCAGAGAGGTTGAAGTGTTCTCCTACTGGTTTTTGAATGTTATGATTACCGATGTCATATTTGAAATCAGTCCACTTTTCAATGGTATTTCGTCTTTTGCTCTCTCTGTTCCCAGTGTGGAGTTTCAGAGAATGGGGGACAAGCTCATTAAGCTATTGCTTAATTGCTGACCAATTTCCAGACAAAGGCAGCCTGTGATTTGAAGTTGACGAGTGTCACCTTGAAAGGTGCTTCTGATCTGTATAGAGAGGGTCATCATCACCCACACATCTGGCTGCATTGAGCTAGGTAGTCTGTATATCGCAGGTGTTACTTTTAAAATTGCTATCTCTCTATCTAGTTGCCCATCACCATGGTATCTGAGGACCTTTGCCTTTTACCATTTCTATGGCAATAACGATTCCTCCACTGCTGCATCATAAGAAAAACCAGGGGGGGAAAGCGATTTAAGTGCTCTTGCAAGTGTATCAATTGACAATCAGAGATAGTAACCATCTTCCAATAAAATATGTCTGTAAGGAGAGAAGTATATTTATCACCTTATATAGAGGGGGTGGTTTGGGTGGTTGGTTTGGTTTTTTTTACAGAAAAGTGGTATAAAATCTGGAATGAACACTTTCAAAGCTTAACTTTGCTCCCCTTATTTTCATTTTGAAAAGGGTCCTTTACAACTGTGGCAGTATTTCTGTTGTTCAGATCCACATTTGCCCCAGATTTTTGAACAGGAACAGTTCATTAGAGAAACCTACTGCGTGATTTAATGTACAGAGCCTGGCTGGGCTGGCCATTGTCTTTTCCAGGCACCCTCTTACCAAGAGCCTTTGTAAGACTCTTGGAGGGTCAGGGACTACAGAATCTAAGGTCTTGGCTACACTGGCGCTGTACAGCTCTGCAACTTGCTGCGCTCAGGGGTGTGAAAACGCCCACCCCGAGCGCAGCGAGTACAGCGCTGTAAAGCGCCAGTGTAATCAGCGCCGGCAGCGCTGCACGCTCGCTCGCAGCGCTGCAAGCTATTCCCCTCGGAGAGGTGGAGTACATACAGCGCTGTGAGAGAGCTCTCGCAGCGCTGGCGGCGCGACTACACTCGTGCTTCACAGCGCTGCCGTGGCAGCACTGGGAATTCCCGAGTGTAGCCAAGGCCTAAGACCTGCTGCAGCTGCAGGGTTTTGCATGAGTCTCACTCTCTCTCACTCACTCACTCACTCACTCACACACACCCGTCTGACAAATCACTCTTATTCCTCTCTCAGGATAAGTCTCCTGTCTCCACATTAACCAGCACATTTAGAATGTGAGCCAGGGAGAGCCTTGAGAATCTGAAGCAGTTGAATCAGTCCTTCCTTATTGTATGCAAGTCACACCCTTGATCCCATTTCCACTGTATAAGGCCCGTGAGTTGATTGGGAGTCTGATTGCAGACTGGAGGTTCTTCCACAGGCTGCTTTGGGACACAGGAAGGGTTAAAATCCCCCTTTCTGTTTTCACATGAAACTTTCTATCCAGTGCATCCCAGCAGAGCCAAAGCAGGGAGATGCCCCCAGGCAGTGTCTATAGTCTGACTGAAGTGCTATTGATCGAAGGCTGTATGAGCTCAGTTGTAACAGGACATACAGCTGATCTAGGGCCAGCTCTCAGATGCATTTGAAATAAGCAGCTGTGTGGAGGAGGGACCAGAAGGGGCAATGGTGGTTCCAAGTGACCTTGAGTGTCTCCTCCGAAAAAAGTCA